AACAATTAATTTATGTAACACTTAATTAGTATCACTCATTTTCAAAGATAACATGTATACTCAATACGAAATGAATTCTCATGAGTTTTAAATAAAGTCACCAGCTAAGTTCAATTTATAAGCAATGAATTTTAACATAAATTATAATAATATATCTATTCCTATATAGTTTAAATACATAGCTATAAAATGATATCACAACTTTTTGAGGTGKAWTTTTTTTATACTGAGCGTTTTTTTACACGGAGTTTGGCGTAGTGTTTTTGTTGGGATATTATATATATTGGAGTATGGATTATGGAGTATGGAAAAACCAGTTTTCCTTACACTCGGTCATCGTCTGTTTTATCGTCATCATTTTCCAAATATTATTGATTTTATGTAATATTTTGATTAATTTAAAAGTTAATTTACATACAATTTATATTCATAGGTAAATTTTAGTGAAATTTGATTGATTCTTAGTTTTCAAGTTTTTTATTTTATGACTGTCACTCTCCTAGGTTTTGACAGATGGGCGCCCGAGGCTAGGGGTCGGCAACCTGCGGCTCGCGAGCCACATGTGGGTCTTTCGATCTTAAGTTGCGGCTGTCCAGTTCTACACGCAAACATTAATATTCAATGTTCAAAAACAATATTTTATCATATAAAAAAATTTATATTATTTTTGTTGCTTTTGAAAATATGAAATAATAGGCACATAACAATGACTTGATACATAAAATAACAACTTATGAGCTAGACTTAACAAAACTTTCAAAAGACATGCAAAGCTTATGCCCCCATTGATGTAACCCSTTAATTTATAACTGTGAAATTGTATTATTATGGCTATTAAAATTTAAAAATTATGAAAATATTTAGTGGCTCTTTAAAATCAGAAAAATGTTGTATATTGTAACTTTTGGCTCTTTCGTCAAAAAAGGTTGCCAATCCCTGCCCTAGGCTATATCTCTATATGTATTCGAAATCCATTCGGGCCACTGTAAACCTTAAAAAGAAAAAAAACAATAAATAATGTTTTATTCAAGAAATACCTCTTTAGCTAGTTCATTGAAAGATGCTGTATAAAAATTAGGTACTATTATAATAGTAAATTTTATAATAATATAATAATTAAATTTCAGATACATCCGATGATTACCAAGTAGGTGACTGGAACCGTATGTATTTTAAACTAAATTATTAATAAAATTTTAAATATMATTTATCTTGTAAATGTATACCTACTACAACATTTAATGTCATAATCTGAATATTATTTTAAATTTTTTAATGAAAGAGCAATCATAAATTCCCAACGACACTTAATAGAACGTGATACCCGCATGTATTGTCTCCGTCTTACAAGTGCGCAACATACCAATAACTGTTTCGCGCGGGAATGAACTGAGAAGTCTACAGAAAACCAAATTTTCACAATGAAAAAAAGAGAATTTTAACTGTCTCTGGGCTTTTAATTTTTCGATAACACCAATATATCAAAAGTAATTGAAGTTTGAAAAACTTAAAAATATCAGAGTTTTAAAAGTATTATAACTGTTTTCTTATTAAAGATATCAAACAAATAAAAACGGTATGACATATAAAATATCATCTTCTATACTGTGTTAACTTTTGGTGTTTCTACTAAGCGTACAGACCACGGCTATCAACACAGGTTGGAGCTCGCGACCTTATTACGTGTCGAAGTGGAGAACAGAGGTACTATCAGCGCTAGGTGTTACTGGCCCGACATTATTACGTCTCATATAGGATATTAGATGGTTTTTTGTTTCTATCTTCTAAATAACATAATTTAGCAATAATTAGTAYATAACTAAAATTGTTGGTCACATTGTTTTCTATCDGGTGACCAAATCATATTGTTTTTATCACCAATATACGGACATTTATCGGCGTTATGATATGGTCGGCAGTCGCGAGCCTGTTTGGCTGTATTGTCTAATTTACATCAACCGTGTTTTTAAGTTTTAACCTCGCTTACCGACTAATATTTCGAAATTAGCTACACATTTTTTAATAACGGTTAAATGTTAAAATTATTAAACCTATACATAAATGCTTAAAAATTTAAAAAGGTTAGGTTAGATTAAAAAACTTAAAAATGGTAAAAATTATTTTTAAGCAATATTAAAAACTCAAAAGTAATCATAATGACCCCTTTCCCTAATTACATTCCGA